GGAGGACCCTCCCTGCCTCTTCCAGCGTGGGCTCAGGTGTCCCTTAGCCCTTGAGGGCTCCATGGAGGACCCTCCCTGCCTCTTCCAGCGTGGGCTCAGGTGTCCCTTAGCTGGCAACTGCATCACGCCAGTCTCTGCCTCTGTCTTCACATGGCCTTTTTCTGTGTTTCTGTCTCAAATTTTTCTTTCCTTTCCAAGGACACCAGCCACTGGACTCTGGGTCCACCCTAAACCCAGGATAATCTCCTGAGAGCATTATATCTATCTGCAAAGACCCTGTCCCCAGTAGGGACATTCACAGTCCTCGGGGCTAGGACTTGGACGTAAGCTTGGGAGGACAAAATTTAATGCCAGGTGCCGAACAGACAACGAATGCAATTCCGAATTCTCTCCTGGGACTAACTCCCAGTGCTCTGTGGAGGGGAGCCATCCTGAGAGGCGCTCAGACAAACGCAGTGAGTGCTGTTTTTAGAAGCCTAATCTATGATTGATTAAACCTTCTTTCCAGTAAATAGCTATAGCCAGAAGACAGTGAGTGAAATGCAAAGGGAAAAGGCAGTGATCTGAAACCATCTTCTTGAGGTCCCTCAGTTCTGTTTTCTACTTGAGTATCACCAAGTTAACACACCAGTTCTCCATTCTTTGTTTTTCCTAGAACGTATCATCCCTGCCGTGATACCATCACCCATTTTGTATTAATAGTAGATAAACAAAAGAATGTCAGCATCTGGCGTGAGGCTGGCTGTCCTACGTCCCACAGCACCTCAGCCCAGGCTCTCCTCACCACAGCCCATCAGGCAGCCTGAAGGGACTCACCCAGGTCACAGGTAAAGTCTGATTCCCTCCATGGGGTAAGAAGTGAGGGTGGAGTGAGTTTGACAACCTCAACACACAGAAGGCAGGCCGCATGCAGGAAGCAGTGGAGTTCCGGGCCCTGCACAGCCCCTGCCCCCAGGGGCCTCACCCGGATCAGAATCTCTGATTTGGGGGTAAATACGACTCAAACATGGCAGGCACACTCTCTCCACTTAAAGGACTCTCTAAAACTGTTTCTAAAATACCCAGTGTTAACAAGAAAGAAAGATCACCCTGGCTTAGGTTCCAGACTGAAGTCCCTTTCAATTTGCCTCCCTTTTTTCCCCATGAGTAGTAGCTCCTAATGCCCAAGGAAGCTCAGACAACACAAGTAACTGAGACCCAGCGCTCAGCCTCCTCCCCCCAGCCCACACATATGCCCAGGGCACGGGCATCACCCACATTTTAGCCAGGCTTTTCACCCGTGAACATGACAACGTGAGAGGGATGAGGAAACACAGAGAGAGACCCAGGCTGGTGAGTAAACTCTGGGTGGTGCAAACCCATTGCTCTGGCTACAAGCAAAGTTCTTGGAGTCTCCCTAAATATCGAAGCAGTTATCTCTTGTCTGTGATTTTTTTTGTTGTTTAAGATGAAGTCATCACACTCTGTTGCCCAGGCTGGAGTATAGTGGCATGATCGTGGCTTGCTACAGCCTCCACCTCCCAGGTTCAAGCGATTACCCTGCCTCAGCCTCCCAAGTAGCTGGGATTACACGTGTGTGCCCCACACCTGGCTAATGTTTGTATTTTTGGTAGAGATGGGGTTTCGCCATGTTGGCCAATCTGGTGTTGAACTCCTGGCCTCAAGTGATCATCCACTTTGGCCTCCCAAAGTGCTGGATTACAGCCACTAGCCACCACACGTGGCCGTCTGAATTTATTTGAAATTTTTAAGCTTTTTACGTTTCTAGGCATAAATGTATCCTCTGGGGATAACAAATGCTTCCTGATGAGCTTTGTGGTTTTTTTTGAGACAGGATCTTGCTCTGTCACATGGAGTGCAGTGGCACAATCATGGCTCATGGCAGCCTCAAGCTCTCTTCTTCAGAGATCCTTCCACCTCCCACTCCCAAATACCTAGGACTACCGGTGTGCACCACCACGCCTGGCTAGTTATTTTTTTGTAGAGATAGGATCTTGCTATCTGGTTGCCCAGCCTGGTCTCAAACTCCTGGCCTCAAACAATCTCCAACCTTGGCCTTCCAAAGCACTAGAATTACAGATGTGAGCACTGTGCCCAACCTCCTGAAGATTCTCATCATAAACAGGTGCCATAATCCTGGACTCTTCTGGCTCAACCTGTACAGGGGCTGGTGCAAGAGAGAGCTCGTTCAGGGTCTCAGAGTGGAAATGGGCAGGCCTGCCTGTGCCCTCAGGGCTAAGTCAGTGGTGTCAGCCTCTGGGTTTGAGTTTTTGGGTTTCTGTTGTTCTCCAGCCAAACTTAAGAGCCTCACAAATAAGTCTAAGAATCCCAAATTACCCAGGAAGGGATATAAATGTTGCAAGGCTCTTACTGAAAACAATTTTTTTAACAAAAGATA